GTTATGGAAAAATCTTGATTATTATGGAGAAAGGAAAACTCAAGTACGGTGCCTGTCAACATTTGGCCAACTGACATCATTCAAGGGAAAGAGATATATGATGGAAAACAAAGCATTTCAAGTTTTAAGTCCAAATGCCCTTGTAGACCTGAGCAGGCTGCTACACAAGTCTGTGCCCCAGTCACCCACCTGCTGTGGGACTATCCTCAAATTTGATGATGAGGACTGGACAGCAACTGGAGCTCCTTGGGTGGGTAATTCTGTGTAAAGTTAAACTATCTCTTTAGGGTTCCTTGAGATGGAAGGATAACATTTGGTAATGGGTGTGGTTATTGCCTTATGTCACGATTGTGATGTACCACATCACATACCAAGTGTCATGGATTGAACTATATCCCCCAAAAATATGTGTCAACTTGGTTAGGCCATGATTCCCAGCATATTGTGTGGTTGTCCTACATGTTGTGATAGTAATTTTATGTTAAAGATGATTAGGGTGGGATCGTAACACCCTTACTAAGGTCACATCCCTGATCCAATGTAAAAGGAATTTCGCTGGGGTGTGGCCTACACCACCTTTTATCTTACAAGAGATAAAAGGAAAGGGAAGCAAGCAGAGAGTTGGAACCTCATACCACTAAGAAAGAAGCACCAGGAGCAGAGCATGTTTTTTGGACCCAGGTTTCCTGTGCAGAGAGGCTCCTAGTCCAAGGGAAGATTGATGACAAGGACCTTCCTCCAGAGCCAACAGCAAGAGAAAGGCTTCCCCTGGAGATGACGCCCTGAGTTTGGACTTCTAGCCTACTAGACTGTGAGAAAATACATTTCTCTTCGTTAAAGCCATCCACTAGTGGTATTTCTGTTATAGCAGCACTAGATGACTGAGACAGCAAGTCAGCAGTGTGTCAATTTCATCCTTCCTCTTTGTGTATTTTTGATCAGGAATATAAAGGTTGGAGCTGGTGATAATCATGGTAGAGAGAAGAAGAGATGAGGCTGGTGAGTGTGTCTGTGATCGGGGGAAGGCGGTGTTGGTGGAGGCTATGATGACTGGGCAGGGAAGGGGCCGAGTGGCCTAGAACTAACCCTGTGTTTGAATCTTGACCCTGCCCAGGGTGGATTTACTGTGACCCTGATGAGGCTTAAGCTTCAAGGCCCTATGCTGGCACGGGTGCCTTCCAAGGCCCTGAACCTGATTATTTTTTTCCTTATTTGTACTGATTGTATTGACTTCCTAACCCCAAAACCCACTGCCATCGAATAGATTCCAACTCATAGCGACCCTATAGGATGGAGTAGAACTGCCCCATAGGGTTTCCAAGGCTGTAATCTTACTGGAAGCAGACTGCCACATCTTTCTCCCAAGAGAAAGTGGAGCAGCTGGTGGGTTCGAACTGCCAACCTCTCAGTTAGCAGCCAAGCGCTTTTACCACTGTGCCACCAGGGCTCCTGTACTGACTTCAGACCCCCAAAATCTTGGATATATCCCTGATCCTGCCACTTACTAGTTAAGTTCCTCAACTTCACTGACCTTCATTCAGTTTTCTCATCTTAACAATGGGAATAAAGATATCTAATCCTCATAAGGAGTCCCTGGGTGGTGCAAATGGTTAACGTGCTTGGCTGCTAACCAAAAGGTTGGAGATTCGAGTCTACCAGGAGGTGCCTTGGAAAAGGCCTGGTGATCTATTTCTAAAAATCAGCCATTGAAAACCATATGGAGCACAGTTCTGCTCTGACACACATAGATCATGAGTTGGAATCAACTCCATGGCAACTAGACTGGTTAATCCTCATAAGGCCACTGTGAGGATTAACTCAAATAATGCAGATAATGCTGGGAAAGTGCCTAATACAATGTCTAGCCCATACCGGGACAACAATTAATGCAGCTATTGTTATTGTAGAGAGTGGTCATCCCATTCTCTGTCCTTCACCCAGTACCCTTGGTCAGTATATTCCTGAAAATCCCAAGGTATGGCAGAGAACGAGAGAGTGTAAGAGGTTCCAACGGTGAGGCCCCTAGAGGGGGAAATCAACAGCTGGAGCTTGGCTTCTCTTAATTCTTTAATGTACAGCCACAGCCCTGTCCCTACGCTCCCTTGGGATCCTGCTTGGTAATAAACTGTGTTGAGAGGCACAGCCAGAAGGAAATAAACGCAACACGCCTGTGTGCCAAAGCACTGCCACATTATCAAATCACAGATGCCCGCACCAGTGCGTTCCCTGCCAGCTCTTTTCCCTCCTACCTGCCAACTCATTCCTTTGGCCCTGGCTCAATCTGGCATCCACAGAGTTTAATTATCTCTTCCGGCTGAGGGCACACAGGTCATGAAACAGTTCATGCTGAACTTTCTACTCTGGTAAGAGCGAGAGGCATGTGAAAGAAACCAGAGTGACCAGAAGATGTCGAAAATGTCAAAACAAGGCTGCCCAAATTCCTTCAGTCTTTGCATTGGAAACCTTCCCTCCAAAAGACTTTCTCTGAATAGCAGGACCAGGTAACCTTCAGAGCACAGCAAAGAAGCCTGGGGCCTGGGCACCCTAGGATCATGCATATCCCCGGGACTAGATGGACACCAGGGCCGTTAACTGCCTTTTCCCCTCTTTACCTCCCTCCCCATGAAGATTTATTCTGTACCACACACAAATGCACTGGGTAAAATATGTGATGAGGAAACAAGGGGAATAGTTCATAAATATTCTCGGCCATATGCAAACAATCTCAAATTTATTTTTCTCTTTTTTAAAGAGGGGGAAAAAAATCCACCCATTCCTTGATCACTTCCAGATTCATTGAGGTTGATATTACATAAGACCCAATATTGTTTTCTCATCGTGGAGAAATAATGACTTGGAAATGCAATTTGAGCTAAGAAAATAACATACTCTTACCCGGGTATGGAGTTTGAATGGGGACCCAGGAGCCAAGACTGCAACCCAGGCTCCAACGAGCTCTTGCAAGCACAGCTCAGCCGTGGCTTGCTGGCACGCTTGGATACTGCATGCAGGGATACTGAGGAGCAAATGGCCATGCACTTGCCCTAGGGCTCAAACTCTACTTGGAGAGTAAGAGCCATCAAACGGGTCTTTGAAAGTACCAAGACAGCTCTGTGGGTTACAGAACTCTCAGTTTCTCATGCACGGTTTCTCTCTGATATATAAACTTCTAGAGAGATAAGAACCACAGGTCTACCTCTGACCAATGTCTGCAGCCTGGATGGGTGTCTGTTCAACTCTCCAGTGGAGAAGGAGATTGTGGCTACTGGGTTGACCTTGGCCAATCATCCTCTGCCCCAGTGTGTTCCTTTCATTACTATTACCTGTTCCCCAGCACCACCAAGGAAACACACTCACCCAATTCCCAAAATGGGCTGGGGATGTTTATGCCATCTGTCATTTAAATGCACAATGAATCTAATGAAATGGGAATTATTATTTATCTTCATTTCACAGATAAAGAAACCGAGTCTTAGTCTTACTCAAGGCACACCTGTGTGTGCAA